ACCATTGAAATACACGGTTCTTGTTTGGGGCCACGGGAAGGTTTGTTTCAGTATCTGTGTGTGCAGAGTTAACTCTCATTTTTTCATGTGCCAGTCCCCAGTAGAAGGTGACTCTCACTGGAGGTTATACCTCTTCAGAAATGAGATGAGAGGGTAGAAGGAAGATGCTGGCAGTCTCTGTGTCTTGAATCTCCTGATTATGCTTCCTCTTAAAGTTTGGTTTTTTTTTTTTTTCTTTTGGTGAAAATATGATGCTGATCTCAACTTCTTTTTACCTTTGTTTTCATATAGCTTTATTTATTGAGGTGTACCCGGTTTCCTTCTGTTTGTTTTACTACCAGAAAATTTCTGTATGAAAAAGAAGAGTCAATGACGTGGAATTAAAAAGGACTCATCTAGATCTCATCATAATAAAAATACTTGGAACAAATGAGTTTGGGATTCATACTGTGGTTTATGCTTCTTTGGAATGCTTCATTTTTTCATCAGAGAGGCTTCGTTTGGTTAAACTGTGTTCCTGTATGACATCTGGTTTGAAAAGCATAATAACCTGTATAATCAGCTTTTAAAGTGCTGGATTATCTGTGGGTTTATTGACTCTTCTTTACAAAATCTGTTATTTCTAATTAATTCTCCATATAACTATTACTAAAGCCAACTTGCAGAGACACAAATGAGCTTGATGGCAATGGCTAGTCAAGGTCAGCATTTAACTGCCCGCATTTGCACTGTTGAGGATAATAAATCATGCTTATTCCTAATCACATAGCCTACAACGTGACAAATGTTAGTGGAGCCATCTAAGCAACCATTTTACAAATCATTTAGAAGATACATTTGGCATTGTTAAACTGCTCCACGCTGCCCTTGGCTGTAAAAGCTTTGTGATAAAATATGTATGCTCTGTTAGATCTCCTGGGTTGGAATCCTGCAGAACGTGGGGGTGTGGGAGGTGTGTATGGGGGGCCTGTGGTTGCTTTTTTTCCCCCCCTTTATATTGGAAATAATGAGAGAGGTGTTGTGAAAGTAATAACTCCTAATCAACCTACGGAAACCACTGGCTTCTGAAGTAGCCAGCTCTGTGGCACCATTTCTTATTTCTTGTGTTTTCAGTTAGAAGTTTATAATGCGAGTAGGTTGCTTCCCCACAAGAAATTTTCTGGGTCAACAATAGTCCATTGTGTGAAAGTTTTAGAAAAAAAACAACTGTTAAATATCAGAACAATAGTTGTTAGTCTCTGCTTTGGATTTGGGCAAATGTGTAAACGCAGTGTTTTCACTTGGTCTAAAGTTGAAGACTCAATCCTGCTGTGGCCCACAGCTGTCATTAGATTTAGCGTGTCATTCAAATAGATATTTGGCAGTAGGCTAATTGTTGTCCAGGGAGCCAGTTGTAAAGTTTCTGATCTGTTTTTATGGTCTCTGTTCTTACTTGGCCCAACTCTCGTATTTTTCAAAAGAGAGAATGATGTATTAACTAAATAATCTGGATTATTGTAACTAAACTTCTCATCTGGAGCAAAAAATCAAACTGAACTCCAAAAAAAGAACTAAAATTAAATTAATGTGTGTATCTGTTAGAATCAGCTGAATTTAACACTTAGTTTTTACCTATTAAGTGTTAGCCGCCTGTAACTTCTCCCACATACCAGTTTACATTAGGATTACTTCATAGACATTTATGGGATGTTTCTGTGGAAAACTAACGAAAAGGGAAATATTTAACTTGGAACATGCACGAAAAGCACTTTGAAAGTGGGTTTTTTAGTATAGCGTTTCTCCCTATACATATTATAGGCTATAGAGCTATACTGATTAATCACATAATTGGTTTAATAAAAGCAATGAATAAATAAAGTGTGTTTCTGTGTCTTAAACGCTGGGTGTCTGTCCTTGAAATGAGGTGGAGAGGTAGTTTGCTCGCCAGTCAGATCTTGATGCAGATCTTGTTCACCATGGTCAAGTTGCTATGAAAGGAATGACAGCCTGAACGTAAGGGAGATTCGGGAGGAAAAGGTGTAACCATCCATGCGTGCCTTGCTGAGAAAGAAAAGCTTCCATGGAGAGAATGGCTTAATCTGAGGTTTAGCAATATGATGTGAGCATATTTTTTGGACTCAGCCTTTTATTACTTGCAGGTATGTGCAAACACCACTTTACCTTTGTGTAAGGTAATATAACAGCATTTTGAATTGGCAAATACTTTAGTATAGCATGGGTGAAAGAGAACATAAGATATTTTAAAAACAAGCCGAACGTTGTTCACTAGAAGACAGTCATAGCTAGAGCTGGCACAAGTTGGTGAAGGTTTAAGTACCAACAGCTAATATCAAAGTTTCTTTGCAATAGAGTATTGGAGAATTGCTCCATGTTGGATACTCCTGTTAAGAATGAAAATACCTCATTTGTGTGTTAACCTATTCCACTTTTAAACTGATTAAAAGGATGTATGGGAGTTAACTGAATTTTGTTCCAGAATGTTAAGTTTCCACCTGTGATGCTGTTGCTGAGTTGTTGAATACATGCTTTGTATTCCAGCTGTACCTTCACCTTGCAGCTATATTCACGTCCTTCATTTAGAGAAGCACTGTACAAAATATGCTATAGATTATGTCTTAGGTAGGCATTTAATAATAGCTGTGGATTGACTGGTGTCTTGATGTATCTTTACTGGCTTTTTTTTACCCAATAATTCTGTGTAAGTGAAATTTTATAGGGTAGCTTGCATCTAAAAAAAGTCTCTCCCACCTTCTGCAAATCCTACATGACAATTTATTTTCAACTAAAAATAATACATACTTATATATAGTATGTACATATATATAGAGAGAGTGTGTGAATATGTACGTGTGTATATATATATAAATAAAAAACCACGCATGCTGCTGTGATACCCTGGAAACCTCCATTTCTCCACAGGAAGAGCTCTCTAACAGAATTACCTTCTTCAGATATTAAAAAAAAAAAAATACACTGACCTTTTTCAGGGTAGAAAGAATAGGAAAATTTTTACTAGCTTTATGAAGAAATAGGAGCGTGCAGCATCAAAATTACAAATGCTTCAAGTCATTTTGGGGTATGTCAGAATTGAAATATTTCCCTTCTCAGACAAAATACCACTGTTTGCAGTGAGAAAGCAAAAAAAAAAAAAAAAAATTTGAAGGAGTTCGTTTTCCAGGTTATTGACATTGACATTTTCTCTAGAAAGCAGACACCTTTTGAAGAATTTTGTCTAATAAGAGGCTTAATGTTTTTCATGCTGTACAAAACGTGCTAGAGGGAGAAAGTCCCGTTCGTTGCCTGAACAAATCCAAATGCAGAGCTGAACACAGGCAGAGTCTTGGCAAATCCTGAAGGAAGGTGCCTTTCCTTAGGGGTACAGGAATGTGGTGTGCATGGGTATGACTGTGACTTGAGCACGCAGAACTTAACTTTAACGTCGATTTGGTGAGGCTTTCCTTTGTCTCTCTAACCGATGAGCTAATGCCATCACCTAGCAATTATCAAGTAGTGTGATGTTATGTAATGAAAGTATAAATAGCACGAGGACTAAAACTGGTAAATCTCACAGACTAGCGAGCAGACAAGAGCAGGAATATTATTTGGAACATTTTGATTAGCATCTGAACGCTGTCATTTAAAAAGACATTTAGATTCGATGTTACAATAAAGCTGCAGGCCAGGAGAGTTGCGGTCCTTGATCTGGAGTGACATTCGTGCTGTGCCCCTGGATAAATCACTTGGCCTCTGTATACCTCTTTAAATGAAGACAGAAAATTGGAAAAAGGCAAAGGGTACATACTTGAAATTTCTTAAGCAAGCTGGTTATCTTATGTTTGAATTAAGACTACCTGCGAACTTCGTTTCCCAATGACTGACCGACAAATAGCCTGTAACCTGCAATTTGAACTATCGGATTATTTCACCACAGGTGTAAAAGTCTTTTAGAGTTGTTTTGTAGTTGTTTGGCAGCATTCAGAGAGATAGCGTGTGAAGAAATGCAAGAGGTCACGTTTACCTGGAGAAGAGAGGCTATGTGGAAGGAAAGACTCTCCCCAACCCTCCAGAGGCGTGGGAGGGATCCAAAGCTTTCATCTCCTTCAGGATCTGGCACGTTTCTCCGAGCGTGCCGATTACATTAGGGTGGCATTTCCAGTTCCCGGGGGAAGAAGGGAGGGAGGAGACTCACTGCATTGTGAAATGTGACTTGGTTTTGAAGAGTGCTGTCTTCTGGAGTTGCCAGTGGAAAATACTTCCTAAAGATACTTTTGGAGAGTCATGCTTTAAACAACAACAGAAATGCCCCGTCTTTTAAGAAGGCCATAGATGGTTGAAGCTGGGTTTGCAAGGTGCATCCATCTGCAAAACTTCAGGATGGTTTCTGAACTTCTGGTGCTGCTTTTCTGGCACCTGCGGTTGTATGAAAGGGTCTTCTGTGCTTGCAGAATGTAAAAAGGCTTCAAAACTACTTTGGAATGAAGCTGTTAAATTACAGAAATATTGGATATAAGGTCAAGGACCACTGTAGTGGTAAGCAG